GGCAGGTGGCTATGGAAAGAGCTGACTTGTACCCAGAGTGGGTCCTCCTCTGAGGCCACTCTGATGAGCACTAACGTGGGATGCAAACATCATGTTTTAACCGAGAGGTCTGTCCATGCGCCTCTTCCCAGATTTCCTTTTCATCAGTTTTCCAGTTGCTTCTTCCAAGTCCCTGACCTTCCAGTCAAGCCACCTGGTGACGGTCACTCTCTCATGGACGCCCCATGCTGCAGCTGGCCATTTTGTGGGAGCGCTTACATGCCATGCAGAATCGTCTGTAAGCTAGGCTGTAGTGTTTTTTTGGTTTTTGTTTTTTGTGATTTTCAGGCTGCCAAGTCTGGGACTTGAACTACAGTCAGCCATGTGGAAGTCCAGCTCCTCAACCACCATCCCACCTGCTGGCCCCATGCTCTAGTCTTTTTTTTAAAAGAGAGATATTTTTGCCTTAGGGCATGTGCACTCACCAGAGACAGAAGACAAGAAATCACCCCCCCCCCGTGGGATGGCCATGCCGCAATCCCTTCCCTTCCATTTTCCTCTTGGGATTTTGGGCACATGCTCCATGTGAGTTTTAAGCCACTGGGTCCAGGACTCAAACTGTGGTCGGCTACACGGGAGTCCAGCAGTGTAAGGGTGATACCATCTGCTGGCCTCCAGGCTCGAGTCTTAATAGACCACGAGGTGCTCCCCCATGAGGCTGCAGGTGCAGCCTGGGAGGAGGTCACCTGGCAGATTGGGAACCAGGTGCATTCAGGGCACCCCTTTACGTAAGTTCGTCATACCTTAAGGACCCGCTCGACTGCCACGGACAGCCAGTCTGCCTCGGCGATGAAGAAGCGCTGTTGTGCACAGCCAGCTTCCTGGCGTGGTGGGCCGTGGAACACCCGCTGATGGAGGGGCAGCTCAGGTGTGGAGCTCGGCAGTCTGCACCAGGGCCAGCTGCAGGTGGAGAGCTACTCACCCAAAGGGAGAAGAGTCTGAGGTTTTGGAGCATTTCAGATTTGCAGATTAGGAATGCCCAGTTTTATATTATTAAACTTATTTCACTCCCTTTTCACTTTTCAAATGTATAGTTACTATGAATTTATCATTTTATAGATACTGCATTTAATAGTGTTAGATTACGCACAGTGGGAGTAGTACAGGGTCTTCAAAACTTAATGGAAAGTATTATCAGAAATCCGCACCCAAAACTCTCGTTTTAATTTTTTTTTTTTTTAATTTGGTATGGGGTGGGGCCGGTTAAGGGCACGGGACTCCCACATGGCCGACCATGGTTCGAGTCCTGGACCTGGTGGCTTGCTTTGTCACTTTCCATATCTCTCACTCTCTCTCATTCTGTCCCTCTCTGGTCAAAGTAAAATAAACTAATTTTTAAATTAATTATTAAAAATATTTGCTATGGGGCACATGAACTCACTGTAGTTAGAGAGAAAGAAAGAAATCAAGCACCTCCATTCTCCACTCGGGGTTTGGCACGGTATAGTTGTCAAGCTGCGGGGTCTGGGTTAGGGTTACTTGAACTGCACAGTTGGCCATGTGGGATCCAGCCACCTTAACCTTGCTCACTCACAGAAGAAAAAAAACGAAATTCTAAGTATCTACTTTACGGTAAGTGTCCAGTGGTCAGGTCATGGAGACTGCCAGCTCCTGGTAACCCCTACCCTAACTGGAGAAAGCCAAGGAGCCCAAGAGCTTGGCGCGGACCCCCGGGTGGATCCCACGCACAGGTGAGCAGAGAGGTGATTTTACCAGAGGCAGCAGGACAGGCTGTGTTCTACCCATCATGTCCTTCAGAGCGGCTTTGGGAGTCTGATGGCGCACAGCTGAGACTGACTCCGGCCAGCTAGAGTAATCCAGGGTTCCTTCGGAGGGACAGGGACCCAGCGACGCCCCGGGGCGGTGTCCTGTGACTAAACTGCCTTCTGTTCTCGCCCCGGCCCCGCCCTC